GCATTTATTTTTACTGAATTTGATAAAATAAGAATTATTTAAAAAAAAAGACATCTCTTTCTCTCTCATATTAACCATTTATATATATATAACCGTTATTATATATTGAATTTCCAAACACGATTGAAGACATTTCTATTTTTTCTGTACAGGTTAAATTACTCTCCAAACAGGGCATGTGTGTGCCGCGAAAGGTGAAGCAGGCTAATCAACCTTTCGAAACAACGTTTAGATTGCAGGTAAAGTACCAACAAACTTTTAACAATTTTGAACAAATGTACGAGTCATCATCATACGAGTTATTTATTATCATATATATGATGAATTTCAATCCAATTTTTAAAATCCAAAATTAAAAAAATATATCAATGGTTTAGGAAAGTTTTTGCGATTATATTTTTCATTATTTATCTTCATAATATTTAAAAAAATTATTGTAAAAGAGAGCATTATCTAAAAAATAAATAAATATACTTTGAGTATTTCGATGAGCAAGCATTAAAGCTTATGGGCGAAATTTTGTATTTTTTCGATAACGACAAATGCACAAAATAGATCAAGTATGCTCGTGTCTTCCGGCCTTTGTGAGGATCTTATTTAGAGTCAGTAGCGTACTTACAGTGTATCGGTAGCATAAATGCAATAAATCGATAATGCAATACGCGACACCTTGGTAATCGCTGCAGGTACATCTACCGAGAAATCAGCTGTACGTGTCGAGAGTCAGTCCGAAGATGAACCTTGGAGAAATTCTGGACGAAGTATGTCGTGAGAAGAATCTCGACAGTAGCAAGTACGAACTTCGTCATCCGGGTGAGTATTTTTGAAATAAAATTATACGATTTAATAAAAACATTTCAAAATTGTTTCTTATTACAAATTTTAAAAGATAGGTACAAACTACACTATTTAATAACGTGATAATTTGAATGTGTTAATAAAATTTCTATTTCTATAAAAATATTTCAAAGTTTATACTAAATTGCACGAATAAAATAAGCTCGGTATAATAATAACCAAAAAAATGTTTCAAAAAATATATTGTACTATTTTGCAAATTTGATAGTTTGATTTAATAAATGGGATTATAAGCGAATATCATGAAAACGAGAGTACTTTAAAAACCGATAGGTATTCTTTTGCACACTTAACGTGCGTCAATGGAAATTACAAATTGAAATTAATATAATTTGACGACATCACATTGCCAGATCAATTTAAACAATAAATGAACTTGAATTTATGCATTTTGTAAATTTGCTGGATGTATGATCGAAGAAATTTAAAAGATATGCTTGTGCAATTGAATTTTCAAAGACGTAACATTTTACATTTCAACATTGATGATATAAAAATATTTCAAAAATATTTCTTATTACAAATTTTAGAAGATAGTCATAATGTTAAATTTAAGTTTACTTTAATAAGTTTTGCAATAATTTGAAGAAATTATAAATAGATAAGCGTTTTGCATAGCACGTTAATGTGAATTTTTACGATACTGAAAATAAAGACCTTATCTCTAACTTTAAAGACTTACATAGATAAGAGCCAAGGTTTTCTAACTCGGTGACGTTTTAATGAAGCTAAGCTAATATTTATTAAAAAACGTATCCAAATAATTGTGCAACAAGCTAATCAGGTGACTATTTGCAAATAAAAATTAATGTTTTGTGATTTTTGTAGCAACTTTATGTTGCGCATTCTTTCTACTGTTGAATAAATATTTAACAAATTATAACGAATTTCAAACAATTAGCTATGCTTTTTAGTTGCGTAAAGAAAAACTATATTATTATATTTTTTTTTATTATACTTATAATACATTACATATATGTAATTATATTAAATTACAAATAATGTTTATCTTGAAAACAAAGCTATGCAAGCCGAGAATCCAAATTTTATATACACTTGTACAGTCGTGTGTACGCGCGCGCACGTGCGCGAATGTGATTGCGACACACAAAT